GTTACAGAGAACAAATAGGGACCATAATTGGACCTCAAATGCAATGTTAGCGATCAAAAATTGAATTTTAGTTATTGTATACATTTTCTATTCAGTGATTAAGCGATGTGTTCATTTTTTAGAAACATTCTATAAATGTTACGTATTTGATCTTTATCATTCCATTTCCTTGTCAATTCGTTTGTTGATTTGTTCCTCTTTATATTAAAGGTACACTTGAACCGAGCATCGGTGAAGCGTGGATTCCTAGTAACGCATATAAACCAAATTCCTCTATAGTTTCTTATACGACTCAAATAAAGTCGACATACCAAGGGATAAACCGAATTAATCACTCGATCAGCCATAAAAAAGCTTTAAAGTGCACCTTCTTCAAATTTGGTCATAAATTTGACCTACTTAACTGACCTACTCATCTGCCTCGTTTATATGGAACACCGAAAGCAAGCAGAAAAATCCGTTCAAATATTATTTTTAGGGTAATATGAAACGATGTCCTTTGATATTTCTCTAATTCCTACATGTACTCGGTATTTCTCTAATACCTACTATTTGAAACTGTATGGTGGCATTTTGCTGGCTTTTGTTACAAAAATTGACTTTAAATGCAACTTTTGTGTTTAGCTATTTTATGTACTATTATACCGGTACACGGATGACTTGTGAGTAAATAAGTAGCATGCAACAGGCTGCGATAGAACATATAGCGTTTAATTTTATATGAAGGTCACAAATCGCCTACAATGCATTCAAACGTTTATAAACAAAAAACAATTTCCTTTATTTGATACATGTATGCGGATATTAATTTATAAAAAGCGATTATATCGAATATGAAGATCGCAGTCATCGTGCAGTCGTTGTCTATTCACTTCTACTCACCGAAAAAACTTGCTGTTCACTGCTTATTCTTAAAATCTCAACAACGCAAAGATGTAAAGAAATTGAATGACACCCGTACAGTTGTCAGTAGAGTACATGCACTTATAATCCCTATTCAGGGGTGGATCCAGGATTATTTGAAAGGGGGTCCGGGGATGCAAAGCCCCCCCCCCCCCCCATCTCCCTTGGCGAGGGGTTCGGGGACCGCTGAAGAGGGCGAACGGTGCTATTTTGGTACGGTTTAGAACTATATGTTTCAGCTAGTCAAAATTCAAATTTCAAGAGGGGACCATTGGTGTGATTTTATTTTTCAGAAATCGATGTGGAGGGGGAGGGGGGGTCAGGACCCCCCTGACCCCCCCCCCCCCCTAGATTTTCACCTAGGCGCGGCATGGTCACACGTTGATCCAGGTCAACGCAAGGGCATATTAACGTTGCCCATCACTACGGCTATTTATTGACCAAATTCTGGAAGGATATCTACTGAAACTGACGGGATAGACAAAATTCGAAACAATGTTCAATTAAGCGAAACGAGCTGCCCACACAACAAAATCAAAACAATTTTCTGAGCTTTTGAGGTGTAGTTGCTGTATCTTGACTCAAATCTAATATCCCATTTTATGTACACCAAATATTTCAAGATTGTATGTGTTGCGTTGGAAGTTTCGGTCAGTATATTTTGACAGTGAACATTTGTGAGCAGTTTTAGACAAAACCTCTCACCCAAAATGGGTCAAATCTGCTGTAATTTGCATAACAATAAGTTGCCTGTCGTAGTGCAAGCTGAATACTCACTCTGCAGTTGGGCACAGTTGAGTGAAGACGCAACATTATGTGTGGTGAATTCAAAAGTTTAAGCTTTTATAAGACGTAGAAGCAAGTATTTGGTAAGTAGCACTGATTCTTCAATAACCTCCCTCAAGAAAACACAATTGCAACCGAGTGAGAGAAAATTTATTGTAGATATTAGTAGCACGATTTGTTGTAATATTATGCCCATTGTTACTTGTATGTCACTCACAATGTCAGAATATGTTGGTTACAATGCTTTGGGACTACAAACGTACAGGAAAAATGGTGCTATCAGCTGACCATTGATGAAATCTTTCAAACTAGCTTCTGCACGTGTGGAATCTTTGTATGACCCCTCGCAATTAAAAGCGCATTTGTGACTTAATTTAAAATGTTTTCGTGTAAATATGAACATAACTGCACAAAAAGACTGATTCATTTAGATAATATTACTTGTCATAGTTCTGAGCTTTGGATACAAGGAGAAGTCTGCCCTATCAAGGTGTATATCAATTTAATTAACATTTCAAACGTCGCAAAGACAATTACGATGCTTTTCAGCGATTTCTTTTGAATTATATTAATGTACTTTAATGGATAGCTAATTTCACCTGGAAAAAATAAAGAATTTTTTAATACATCATTTTATTATTATTATTATTATTATTATTACTTCTACAAGAATAGGGGTCCATATAGCTATTAAAGTTCTCTTACTTGTTTCAGATTACACTTGGAGAATCCATTTATGTTTTAAGATGGACATGCTGTCAAAGATCGTTTTGTAAGGTAAGTGTTTTTAATATAATACAACACACGTTCACGCACATGTCAATTGCTCATAAAGCGATGGTTTACAGATGAAAGTTTAACGCAGGTTGACTACCGTCTCCAATGTGCCGTATTCTGTCCCTCCATTACACGACCAACTACATGTATATTTTTAAAGACTTGATTGTACTTTCATCCAAGCTATGTGTAATTTATTTCATATATTTTTTAAAAGAAAATGTTCAAATAAGATGTTTTGCGCTTCTAAGTTGAATCAAAATTTCTATGCGTTATTTTGTCATTTCAGAAGCCCGCGGAGAAACTGTGCAACATGGGCCTGCAAGCAACAAGGTCTTTGGTTGACATATATCATGCTCAATTTCATGTATATCAAATCCGAATAAATATTTCTATAATTCCTTGTTATTTTTCATATTGATATAAAATACACAGTACAGCAATATTAAAATGGGAAAAGATTACATAGATGTGATAACTGTTTCAAGTTCAATCTGGAAAAATTGTGTAATTTGTGTAATTTTCTTTTGGGCATGATGGTTTCCTTTGAAACCTGGCGATATTTAAAATTGAAATGGTTTAAACCTTTGTAATGAAGCACAGTATTTTGTAAATATTAAATTGGACATTAAAAGTCTAATCCACTGAAAGAATATATAAATTTCAATATTAAGTATAATATAACAATCTTGCAATCTATTCATAAGATTTAAATTTGTTTGTAGCAACATGCATGTCACCCCTCAAAAGAAATGGGGTCATACCACCTGTCACCCCTCAAATGGAATGGAATCGTCCCACCTGTCACCCCTCAAATGAAGTAAACTCGTCCCACCTGTCACCCCTCAAATGAAATGAACTCGTCCCACCTGTCACCCCTCAAATGAAGTGAACTCGTCCCACCTGTCACCCCTTAAATGAAGTAAACTCGTCCCACCTGGCACCCCTCAAATGGAGTGAAATCGCCCCACCTGTCACACCTCAAACGAAATGGAATCGTCCTACCTGGCACCCCCTCAAATGAAGTAAACTCGTCCCACCTGTCACCCCTCAAATGAAGTGAACTCGCCCCATGTGACACCTCTCAAATCGAATGGACTTGTCCCCCCTTTTACCCCATAAATTTGATAGACTCGCCCAAAGACGAGATGTTTTTTTTTTCTCTCACTCACATCAATGCAGTGATACGAGTATCATTCATTTCAATTTACAAGCAAAGACCAAATTTTCAATGTATGATTTATTATATTACATTTTTCATGACAGAAAACCACGAAGATTTACTATAGGACTCGTGCTCAAATAATAAATAATAATAGAACAGTCTTTGAACAGGACTGGATTCATTCGACATTGAATAGGCCGACAGGAGATATTAACCGTTTGAATTTGACCGGAAATATAAATTTGAATATTGGCACCTACAGAATTATCTTATGTTAATAATTCGTGCCAACTTTATGAAACTGCTTTGTGTTAATTTCATTATTTTTTTATTTACAAAATTTGAAAGCACTTTTAGATTTAATCTGGAGAACAAAAATTGCAGTCCAAATAGAGTATAGTATAGTAAAGTACAGGTTCTGAAAATCCAGCACATA